TTCTGTTTGTTTTTACTAATTTCCTTTCCAAACTGCCTTTTCAATATAGAGGAAAGACCTCAGGACTTGAAGTTTGTTATTTTCTCTCCAAAGTTAGTCCCTGTTCCCCCTGGCTCCCTCCCTCCCCTTCCTTTAAACCAGACTGAACTGCTTCTTTGCTTGGTGGTAAGTTTTCTTTTCTTCTTTTCTTTTCTTCAGGAAAGTGTGGTCTGATTTAGCATCGTGTAGCTTGGAGCTGTTACTGATCCTAGAGCAGCAGCAAAACCAGCCGAGGGAAAAAGACCCTGACAGGCTCTATTAACCCTTAAAAACAATAAATGATCTCATCACCTCCTCAAATAATAATGCAATAATTTACTTCAGCAAAGGAACAAGTCTTTTGGGGATTGACACTGAAATCTATCCCAGAAGACACTCGTGCTGGCATTAATGAAGAAGGGCTGCTTCTCTGCTAAGCTGGTCATAAAGCGCAATGTCTTTCAGCATTAAAAAAGGACACCATGCATGCATAGGCATATCTATATATATATATATATATATATATACACACACACACATAGGCATGTGAAAAACAGGTTGAGGAAGACAGAAGATGAGTGGAAATGTGCTAAATCAGGTGGAAAATAGGTGAGGAAGGTTTGCAGTGGCACTGTGCATCCTGCATTTGAAACAAAGGGCTGTAGAATCCCTTAAGCCCTCTTCAAGAGAGCCAGGAACTTCTGGAGATGTATTTAGCACTGCTAGCTGTCACGTGTTCTTCTTGATCAGACAAACAGGATCACTTGGGGTGGGTTTGAAGCAAGGAGCTAATTCAGAATTAATCCCTGCAGAATTGCTATCTTCTCTCTAGAATGATGGCATAGAGGGAATTGATAGAGTGATAGAGTAGAGGGCATCCTGCCTCACAGACAGTAATAGAAAATGAGATCTTTTGCACAGACATTTCAAGCCAGTTTCAGATTTCTGATGGGAAACCACGTTTCTGCCTATGAACTCCAAAGATGAGTTAAAACTCCTTTAGAAAGAAAAAATTAACCTTATTCTCTGTGAATTTTTGAACCATTTTAAAACGATTTCTGGGCGTATTTCTGCTTCATTTTTATAGAGCTTCATTTATTTCACTGCTACTTGGGGTCTTATTAAAAATCCTGTGTTGGAAATGAACAGGTTTCCATTGTTTCCGATGGGCTTTGGATTAAGCAATCAAGAAACCTTCTGTGAGAGTAAAACTGGGAAACAATTCATTACAAAATCCCAGCGGTTCACTTTACAGGCCTATGGAGCAGGTACTGTTCCCTGGTGAGTTTGTGGGACAAACCCCACTATATTCAGCTGTCTTGTGCCTGCAGATGCCTGGTTTGACCTATATAAACAGGCAAACACTAATTACTATCTCTGTCTATATTTAGAGGCTTTTCATATTATGTCCATAGGAAAATGAGCTAACTGAACAGGACTGTAATTAATAGTCAGTATCTCCATCCATTCCTTGTCCTCTCCAGAACAACTATTAGTTACAGTGAATATTTTATGATGCCATTAAAATATTTCCATGAATTACTGTGTCATACTGGGTATTTTAGAATGATATTTACTGTTGTTATTAGAGTTTTCTGCCGCCTTCTCTCTTTTCTGCCTTTCGTTTGCTCTGCCCATCTGGAAAACTCAGACATTGGCTGTAACTGAAGACCATCACAAGCTCTGTAATCCCCAGATTTGAATCCCATCTCGTTTTGTATATACACGCAATTAGTGCCCTAATCCTCTGCACCATTGCTATTTTTCTAAGTGCTGAAATCCTTGTGCAGGATTTGCGATTACAGAAATAGGAGCTTTATTCATTAAACAGAGCTGATGCCACCATCCCTGGGACAGAAGTCACACACAAATAATGTGCTTTGTGCTGCCCACATGTTCAGCAAATATATAAGGGATGAAGGTGAACAGCATTTTCCCCTTGCAGAAATCAAAGAAACTCCTTTTAAGCTGTTCTCTGTGTGTGTGAGTGTGTGCAAGCTACAGGTGCTAGAGCAGAACAAACTAAATCTCAGTGCAGAGCAAACCAGCGTTGGGTATTAGAGGTTTCCTCCAAAGAAGCCACACAAAGCGTTGTGTGAAGCTGGCATTGCAGGCTATGATTTTGGGACACGTTTTGAAGGAAGACTCGGGATTTACCCCAGAATGTGGTCAGCATTCCCATCTCCCTTCAGCCAACAGCTGATACACAGAATCTGGGTTCCCGACCAAGCCAAGAAATAGTTATATTTTATTACATATTATAGATGTAAAATGCTATCATTTGGGACTAAAGGCACCATGCCATCGTGAAACAATAATATCATCATTATCAAGTTATCCTAGGCTATATACCAAGCTGTGTGAGAACTAGGGTTTTTACATACATTCGGTACATAATATACATTTATGTACATTGATGCAAGCAGCCATGAAGTTCTCAGTTACTTGAGCTGTGCAAGCAAGAGGTTTTCTGGTTAGCTGGCTGGCCCAAAGAACACCCTGAACAAAATGTGCCTCCAGTTAACTTTAAAATGACAGCAATAATTCCAGTTTCATTTTGAAACTGCTTTTTAATCTCTTTCCCCTCCCAGCTGAATATAGGACTCTTTAGAAAGAAAGAATCATGAATATTGAAGCATTTCTGTGTCAAAACCATTGCGGTGACCCGTGCTGATAGCCTTGATTTTTTCCTCTCATTTGTAATGGTTAGAGCCACGGAGGAATGCAAGGTTTGCAAACAGCTCGTGTCTGACTGAAAACTACAATAGCTGGCAAATAAAACATGCAAGAAATTTCACCCTTTCCCGTCTTGTGAACAAGGCTCTGCAGGCCAGATCCTAAACCCCCGGGGCTCTGTAGATGTCTTGCCACTGATTTAGCAAGAGACGGTGCTCCAAGAATTAGCACTGAAGCAGCGTATTGAAGGGAGGCTCAGGCTTGGAGAGCACCAATACTCAGCTTATACATTTATAGACAGTAGACTGACTGGTCAGTCAATTATTCCCTGGAATTTTGTGGACTCCAGGCAAGTCAGCTCAAGATATATGAACGGATCAATTTCAGTAATAAAACCCCATAAATCTGTCCTAGATTTCGGCTTGTAGCAAAACCTGAAAGTTGGCAAATTTCAACTCATTTGGGGTGACATTGCAAGCAATTACCCACCAGCTACCTACCATGCTCTTAACAAGGCAGAGAACGAAAGCTGAACCTGTATATGCGTGCGTAAGTGGTGAGCTAGTTAAAATAGCCATTGGGCTTTTATGATAATTTAACTGTGGAACGTGTACGGTGCAAACCTACACTCAAAGCAGACAATGAAGTTGCAGAAAGCGTACGAGACTGGTTTTGTTTAACTTTGGTCTTCTCAATTTACTCTCACTGCCACTGCCCTCTGGATGTTTTAATGGAAGTAAGAGAAAATGCTCCTTTTATGTATTAGAGCTATGCATGTGGGTGATTTTGTGTGGCAATATTAATAAGAAGTAGATTCAGTTTTATTTTGAAACAAAATGGAATGAAAAATAGTTGAATTGCAGAAGGAGGCCATTTACTACATTGGGGGGGGTACCTTTCATGCAGCATTTCTGATTTTGCCGAATAACAAAGTTAAAAAGTTAAAGAAAATAAACAGTATGAGTTGCAAACAGAACTTGTCAAGGACAGCCAGGCTGGGGATATTCTCGTTACAGAGGTGTAGGTGCAGTTCAAGTTTGGAAGGACTGCGAACTCTTCAGACATGTTTTGTTTCAGGGGATAATACCATAGAATCATAGAATGGTTTGGGCTGGAAAGGACCTTAAAGCTCATCCAGTTCTAACCCCTACCACGGGCAGGGACACCTTCCACTAGAGCAGCTTGCTCCAAGCCTCTGTGTCCAACCTGGCCGTATCATGCTGTAAGGCATGACTGTTCCTCTTGAGCTGCATAGCTCCTTTCTCCATTGACTGCAAATAGATCCTGTGGTTACAGAGGAGTTGCTTAACTTTTACAGAGTAAAAATGAAGGAGAAACAGCCATTTCTCATGTGTTTCTGCTTTCGGTCTCTACCAGATAGTGATAGATGTGATAGTTCTGTCTTGATGAGTTAGAGCAGGGGCTCTGGCTTGCTATAGGATTTTTACAAAGCCTTTATGTTATAAGATCATCCACATAACAACACCATTCTAAAACCAATACAGCAACACACCATCTCATTTTACTCCAGTGTAGCATTTTTCAAGGCTGGAAGCATCCATCCTTCATTTTCCCCATTGTCTGTGGCTTTGTAAAACAGCAATAAGAGTAATTGCTGCTATTTGTTAGCTCTCACCTCAAACCAGTCTATGTATATATTCACAAATAAGTCCTTAATAATTAAATTCTTCAGGTTTTGATCTTGCTCACAGGAGCAGAGTAATTTCTGTTCCCTTATGGATTAGATTATCCTGCAAGGTTATGATTCAAGCCTTCCCTTCTTCTCCGATATGATTCTTCCAGACCTTGGGACTGATAGGGCTCTGCACAGCACCAGGTCTATGTTTTCTCTGTAAATACAGCCTACAAAATTTCAACAAGTCAGCCCTTGTGTGCCACACCGAGAGATTGATGACAAACCACATTATTTTTCCCCTCCATATAACTGCCCACAATTACAACGGTACTCTCTCAAAACACGGGTTTGTTTTTGTCCAAGGAGGAAAGCGCGCAAGCACGGCCCGATATCTCGGTGTAGAGCTGGCGGCAACACTGAGCAGCATTATTTGTGGAAAATGCCCTTTTCTTCCCTCTTTTTTTTTCCTATTCCATGATAAAACATGGGATCTGATTCTGCCACATGGGTTTAGGAAAAGCCAGTGACTCATTGGCAAAGGTTATCTCAATACCATGCTAGAGAAAGGAGGGGATCAAGACTTTGCAAGTCTTGTTCAGTTCGCTGGCCTGCTCCTATGATGGTGAGGTTGTACCTAAACCAAGGCAGCTGGTGAAATTGGGATTATTAGTGTTTCCTGTAGATTAGGTTTGTAACATGGTGTTTGGGGAGGGGGGGTTTAACTAAAGATCTATATTTACTGTTGGTCTTGTGTTTGAAGACAAATGACCTGGAATGATGCTACCACCCTGATTACTGGTGTATTGCTACTAATGCACAAATCCACAAAGTTGTAAAATGGCAAATTTTGCCCCCCAGAATAAATAAGTAAATAGAAGGCTCTGCCTCCTGAAAGAGAGACATTTACTTGGAGGAGTGAGACTGTATTGTTACAGTTATCCCCTCACCCATTCTGAACCTAGCATCTAATTCCCTTATTTAATGCTGACATTCCATCTGCATTTAGGTTGCATCTCTTTACACATAATAAGACAGTAGCCCTGGGAAAACATTGATTGCTGGGTGCTCTGATGATATTTCCAGAAACCCTGCTGTCCTCCAGCTAACTGAATCCCCAGGCTCAATTGCAAGCTCCTGAGCAAAGGCAGCACCTGGAAAGCAAGTCGTCTTACTTTCAAGTGAAAACTGCTTAGAGCATCAAACATATGTCAGAATCACTAATTTGTCATGAAGCTGCTACAGGCTTATATCATCAATCATCTTGACACACTGTACTTGAAACGGTGCTGAAAAGATACAAGTCATTTACTCAAAAAATGTTTTCTTTATCTGTGTGCACCCTCAAAAACTTCCATGAGAGCACTGAAATCTCTGCTCCCTGCTCCTTGTTTACGAGACGTGTTTAACTTTTGTAGTTTGTGTATGGAAGAATGACTGAGTCTTTCTTCGTTCAGTGGCTCTTCTATTGAAAACATGGATGTGCAGCATTTTTCTGGGCGAGAAAGAACCTACTTGTGTTAACTTCGCCCCTTTGAGCTTTAAATATTGCTGCCTGTGTTGGTTTATTTATCTCTTGGTTTAGATTTTTAGCTAAATTGCGGCATTCCGAGAGGCACAGATTGTGCAGAGTACTGTAGATAAGAAATAAGTGATTGAATTCTTCAACTATAACACATATATTACCAATATTTAAACAGCTCTGGAAAAAAAATGGAGATTCCAGTGAAGCAAATTTAATCAACCCAATTTCTTAGGAACCACATATATGATTTCTACAGTTTCTCATCCCTGTAGCTTATGTAGCTCTAGCAAAGATACACAAGTTCCTAAAAGAACAGTCTAGAATTCCTCTGAAATGGTAAACTGTCTCAACCTTGGTTCTTTGAACCTTACTAGCTCTGAAATCTTAATCTTTCCTTGACATTTCAGGCCCAAGATAATAAAACTCTAGAAAGTAAAATATTGCCTTAAGATTTGACTCACAAGGGTAAATAGAGACTTGTAAATTCCATGTGTGGTTTTCTTGAATCTCAAAGCAAACTGGAGAGCAAAACCTTATCACTGAAATGCTAAAATTCATTCACCCAATATAAGAAAATGTTAATTCTAGAGAAACACTAAAATCCACCATTTGGTTCTAGAAGCACAATGAACGTCATCAGCGACTCCCATGCCGAGTAGGTTCTGCAGTTTCTGTGCGGTGAAATGGGAAGCATCTTAAAGAAGCTTTGGCAATGAAGAGGGATAAAAACTATTGGTCTGATGACTGAAGTAGCTCTGAAAATCCCACCAGTTTTCCATGCAGTTTCTGACACCTCTGTGGAAAGTCTGCACAGCTTAATCCTGGGAGCTACAGCCCTGCTCTTGGGCAGTGCTGGAAATGAATTCAGAATGAAGTTAACAGAAGTGGAAACCCTTTGCAGTGAACTCAGAAAGCCTTTTGCATTTGTAGTAAATACATATATGCTTAATCTGGGGGGGTTTGGTTTCTTTTTCAACAGTTCAGACTGTCCTCATCAATAAGTTTGGGAGTCTTTTGCAAAGACACGTTTCAAGCTGTGGCCTTACAGGAGCGCTGATTTGGGATATGGAGGTGAAAACGAGGGGAAGAGCCTACATTGTATTTCTATCCCTTAAAAAAGAAAAAAAAAAAGAGGAAGAAATAAAGAGAAAAAAGAAAAAGGCAGCAAAAGCAATAAAGCAAAAGGCATTTCCTAAAGGTAGCCATTAAATCATTCAACAGGCTGGTCCCTCGAGAGCAGAGAGGCTCCTCTTTCCTTTCCAGCACGGGTCTTTACTAACCATTTCTCATCTAATGCTCAGTGTCTTCACCTGGCTCTCTCCGGGCATCCCCCCAGACTTTATCCACCAGGACAGCACCACAGCTCTTTCTAAGATGGGCTTTGGCCCATATATCACTTTCAAAAAATGCTTCAATGGGTCCCTGATGATGTCAACCAAGGGCTCTGTTTTGCTCGTGATAATGTGCTAATGCTCCGAGACCTGGCATAAATCTTCCCTACGCATCATCATTTGTCAAAGTCACAACATGGGGCTGGAAACTGAAAAAAAACCCACAAAAACCCAACCAAAAAGAAGTAGGAAGAGATAGAAAGCGTGGTTTTCTTTTTTTCTTGCCTCCCATGTGACTTTCCCCTCCTCCTCTCCCCCTTCTCCTTTTCTCTTAATCTCTAAAACATCTGATTGTACAGAAATGGTAAATACAGGTTTTGGTTTCTCCCTCCTAAGTGTGCCTGTTTGTGTGCACGTGTGTGCTGGAAATGGAAACAGAATTCATTGAGGGAACCTTTGCCACCTTTGGTTAGGAAAATGCATTGGGAGAGAGTTGGTCAAATGGTGCTTGTTCCCCGTTTAGTCACCATTTGGGCTGATAAAATTAGGTGGAAACCCATGACCATATCAAAAGGGCCTAATGGCTGATGGGATTTGGTTTTAATCATCTCCGAGGGAACAATCCCACAGAGCACATCAAGTGTTCTCTAGAGCTTGTTTAAAGCGAAAAGAAAAGTCATGAGAGAGAAACCCAAACCTGTTTCATCATTTTCATTCTCCTCTTTTCCTTTTCTTCTATGTTTCAATTCCTTTGTCTCAATTCTCTTTTGCCCACCATCTCCTTGCCCCACTGCATCCCGTTCAGCTGCTGATAAAATGGTTCTATTTGAAACACCTCATGAAAACAAATAGACTTGGATGTTTAGCTGGTGTTTGTGCTCTGAAATGCCAAGACATACAAAAAGCATGTTGCTAATGCTGCTGTTAATGCCTGTTTAGTGGAGTCCTTGAGGTGCAGAAAGTGAGTTGTGATGGTGTTTGACTCCTTTTCGCTCCCTTGTGTCTTTATGTTATTAGTTAAAAAAACATAGTATGTACATTGGTAGACAAGAAAGAAAACAAGGTGGTTTCTCCAGCAGCATTTAAAGCTAATTGAATCTACTGGGAAGATACCTCTGGACCTGAATTTTATTCATTATCAACACAGCCAGGTCTTAGCTAGAAGCACATGAAAGCAGGTAAGAACTGAAGGGAAAAGAAATGGAAATGGATGAAGTGTCACCGGAGATGCTCAGAACATTCCCTTCAGTTATTACTACATACACTGACACAAAATGACAAGCCAGATTTTCCAGCCCTCCCAAGCAATTCTCACTGTTGTGTTCCCTGCACAGCACTCACCTCTGTGAGCAACGCCACTAAAGTCACTGCAAGCAGTAATGCAAAAGTGAGGTTAGTACCCAGTCCCCGAGACGTGCTTTGTGCAATTTCAGGTGGCAGAATCCAGCCTGCAATGCTTTGTTGCAGAATGAGGCAGAATATGCAAGATCGCCGTATTTCAACCAGTACTGGATGAGCTTTGCAGTATCTGTTAGCCACTGCAGGATTCCCAAAACCAGTGGGAGAGCCTGGAAACTCTTACAGGGTTAGAGTCAGGAGCCATTAAACCTCTCCTTTGTTGCATTCTGTCATTTGATATATAGCTTTTTTGCCATTAAATATTATACTAAATGCTGATCGGTTCCGTTCCTGCTTCCAGCTCCCTAACAGGCACTGTAGGTTTATCATCAGTGTACCCTTACAGACTGTATCTTAAATCATGGCATGAAATTGAGCCCGGTGCTGTGATTGCTGTCTGTGCATGAGCCACATCAGCGGCTGGCAGCGCTCCCGAGCCCTGGCATCCTTCCTCAGCAGCCTGGAGTCCAATTAGACTTCACCTCAGGTAACTCTTCAAAAGCAAACTCTAATAATCATAACGTGATGGGCGACATGTCAGGAAAAAGAAAATAAGAGCCTTAAATCCGGTATTAACCCGTAATGGAAAACAAGCCATGGGGTTATTTCCATGAGAAATCTTGGAAGCCGTACAATGGGTGGAAGGGAAGGGATGGGGGAGAGGGGAAGGGCACACCAGGGCGGGATATGAAAGGGAAGGGGTCCTTGGCCAAGGTCTGCTCCTTAACTGAATGCTCATGGACCACGTTTCGGGTTTCATACCTCTGCTGACAATTTGCTGCACTTGGTATCAGGAAGATTAGAAGGGAAATGTTTACGGGGGTCTTAGTGAAGAGAAGGAGCTACACAACACTGCAATAACTTTCTTGCTTTTCTTTCCCTTTTAGTTTTGAATACAGCTCCCCCTTGTCACTGGGCCTGATCCTGACACGCTTTTGGAGTCTTCTGTACTCCATTAAGCCCCAGGAAAAGCAAGGTGAGGCTCAGGTCCACATCACTGTTTGGGTACCGCTACTCTCCTTACAAACAGGATCCAAACAGAAGGAAAACCAAACAAGATGCAAACACAGAGGGAGAAAGGGGGATTAGATATCTCATCCACCCATCCCCATCCTGATGCTTACAGCAGCATCCATCAGGAGCCACTCCACTGTAATGGATGGGGTTAATTCCATCACCAGTGGAAACTGGACTGGAATTAGTCCTACTCTGATGACTATTTAACTAGTTGTTCATTAGGTGTGTTTTCTATGAATAGAGATGAAAAGGGAAAGAAATACTGGAATTCCTCTGAGGGAATTTGGACTCTTTGGAGTCCAGATGAAACTTTGTATAATACCTCTTCTTTCAATGAGAAGAGAATAATGTCTTCAATCCAATTATATCAAGGCATGTAATTACACACAGAGTAAATTAAATACAGTTTTTTAGCACACATGAGATTGAATGCCAATTCCAGCTTCCAAACCCACATTTAGTTACAAAAAAAAAAAATGCTTCAAGCACATTTTATTAATACATATAACTATTACACATATTATGTACTTGTGCTCATAGTTTGCACATTATAGTGTAATGAATAAAATCTCTGGGATAAAGCTTTAGATGTAGTGCAAACCTATAAGTTGAAAAGTCCTGAAGGAGAACTGCAGTAAAGTAATAGATCTAGACAAAGAAAAATCTGTATTTTCCAAGATTGTTATCAAAATAGACGCTGAAGAATGGCGTGTTTAACCATGAACAATGTCCTTTATTCTTGCTGGGATCCCTTATTTCACTGTGTGTATTTGGCCTCCCTGCGTCATTTCCCTCACAAACTCACCACATTGAGGTGGCAATACAATATATGATATAGCAATGGCTCTAGGGTCATCATGTTGAAAGCACAGGTAAACTGTTC